TCAAGACTTAAACAAGTCTCAAAAAAAAGAAAGAGAAGAAAGAGGAATGCAAAATGAAGAATAAGATGCAACATTATGATATTTGAGCAGAGGAATGCACCTAACTGCACAAGCGAGCTGCAATACACCTAACTGCTAGAATGTGTATGTTAGAATCATCCACAAAACACCAGTTAAACGTAGGCCAAACTACAACTGCTCTGATTCTTTACTTCTTTTAAGTAAAGATACGTAGGCACGAGGGCCCCAATCCTCTCCGAGCACTTTCCTGTCTTTTATCCATAGTCCTCCGAACTACATTGACTCTGACTTTCTTATACCTGTTGAGAATACGTAGGCATAGGACCGCGAGGTCCTATCGAGTCTCTTTCCCCTTTTATCTATCCCCTTGGAACACCTTTTATAGAAATACCCGTTAGCAGATACCTTCACGCATAGACAAACAAATGGTTCCCATCGGGTACGATGGATGCGAGGGGTGCTAATACCTTTCCTTCGCATAACCGGCTTCCGAACCCTTTCTCTTGGCTGCGAGACCATCTTATCTGCTTCTTCCTTGGGGTTTTATCAATGTTTTACCTTCCCTTTTTGGGATAAATAAAGTTCGATGGCGACTCTTCTGTCTTTCCATTTCCGCCTCTCTGTCGTTGCATTTTCGAGTAGCGACAAATAGTCATGTCATATTGCATTCAACAAATGTTAATGATCAAAGGATGAGCAAAATATTTAAGTCAGGTATCATATCCAAACTCAATCAATTGTCACACAAACAATTATATAAAGACACACAACGTAGAAGTAAACATGTAAACTTAAGGTATTAATCCCAATGGGGCAGCAACATGATCATGCCTATCATCTCAAATATCAACTCAAGAATCCCAAGAAGAAACAACAAAGAACAACCTCAAAAAATTCATCAAAAACTAGACAAGTCCATTCCATGATCATCTTCAAATGAAAACATGTATTCAAGTAAGGTACAAATTGAAAATTGATCAAGTAATGCACACCATAACCTGAAGGTTAGAAGCAAACTCAATTGATTCAATTCACATTCAAAGCCAAGATATCAAACAAGTTCAAGAAAGATCAAGTTTAATTCATGCTCAAAGAAACAGTCAAATCATCCATACAAGAAAACATTTGAATAAAGAAGTGGGAAATAATCATACAATGGGCACATAACATGAATATCAGAACCTTAACCAAGCCAATTGAATCATAAAAGAATCATGAATCACAAGAAAAATCCATTCAAGAAGCAAGTCCTCAAACTAGGTCAACAATTAGGCAAGTTCGTGCTCAAACATCAAGACATTGAAAAATAAATTTTAATCACATAAATGATAATAAAAAAATGAAACCAAAGCTCAAACTCATGTTGAAATAAACAAGAATATTCATAGAAGAGATCTCAACAAGAGTTTTATGAATACACCATCAAAAGGAATCCATAAGTTCAAGCATGTTATGAATCAAGGACTAAACAAAACCAAATGAGAAACATCCAAGAAATGAACATCAAGGCACCAAAACCACATTCAAATATTCACCAATCAAGTGTTCAAATATGTGAGAAAAATTGGACCAATAAGGCATGTCAAAGGCATCAAAAGATCAAACCCTAATTCAAGGGTAAACATGTCAAAGCACTTCACATTTTAATTCAAAATAAAATAGGAAAATAAATTGAAATATAAAATAAAAATTATTCTCAAGACATCAAACAATTAGAAAAGTATTTTTGAGTATTTTTAAAAAGGTCTTAACAATTATAAATAAAATTAAATGAAAAGTAAACAAGAAAGAAATGAAACCAATGAAATGGTGCAGAAGCAAATATGGATTGCACTAAATCCAAGTTACACGCCAACATGGGATCATAATGGGGTGTGCAGATGGCAAAAATATCAGGCCCAAGATCCAAAACGTCTTGCAGGTCACTAGAAAGAATGAAACGATGTGTTTCATTAAAGGAGGTGGCATGCCACATCACTTTTCAATTCTACACGTCTGTAGGTCAAAAACCAAGTCACCTGGCCACGCTAGCACACCGGAACCCTATGTCGGTCATCTTCTCCGGCCAGCCTCACCGGAGAAGACTAAACAGAGCTACTCCGTTTGTGCTTCAAAACTTGCTTGAGATTCCAAAAAAGGTCAACAATAGACTTCTGAGCTTCTTCTGAGCAAGATGGAAGCAATAGATGGAAGAAATCTCCAATGAAATAATCAATTCGAAGAGAGAGAAAATGGAGCAAGTTTGAGCTATTTTGACTTTCTCTTGCAGCAAATGACCTCTCTCATTCATTCTAGAGTTTGCATAATGAAAGGAAAGGATAATTTGAAAACTTGATCAAAAATTCACTTAAAATGGCCACACGGGTTTGGCAAACTCTTAGCATCCTTTTGAGTCATCAATTAGCATAAAAAAGGGTGAGGAAATGAAATGTAATGGTTGTTGTGAATGAGAATGATCATGTGATGTGTTTTGAGTGAATTCCCTAAATGGTAACAAAGTTGAATTTACACTTGTGATGGTATGTTGTTTGACCTATTTAGGTAACATTTGGTGTTATCTTGAGATGATGATGATGTGGTGCAAAAGAGAGACAAAAGTGTTCATAATTGTGACTTGGAAAGCAAGAAAATCCAAAACATGTCACATAACCATGTATGCTTGTCCATCATGCCTTAACTTGCATTATAAATCATCAAATGATATAGAATTTAAGGTCATGGTGTAGGCAAGATCTTGAAGTACAAGTTTCATGTTATAGGTAACTTGATTTGAAGCTTTGAAGTTCATGAACTTTGGCTTTGAATTGGATAACCAAGACTAAACAATCCAAGAATGGCATTGACTCAAAAGGACCATAACTTGAGTTCTATATATGAGAATGATTATTTCTTGGAGGGAAGATTGCTCGCCAAGACATCATCGTCTTGTACCTACATATTCTCTTATGGTATGAGAAATCAGAGCAAGCGTAGTTCGGGAAACTAAACCACAAGTTGGTTAAGTGTTTTTTGTGAGCCACATTAAGCTCCCATTCCAGCAGTTAGGTTCAATGTTTGTTTGTGGTAGAACGGAAAAGTAACGTGCTCTTTTCTAAAAATGAGTTGGAAAGAAACAATTCCGAAGGATAAAAAGGTTTGAATTTTTTTTGTGAGTTTTAATGTACTGACTTAACTACTTTGAGATTCACGTTGCACTAAAGAGTATGATAGGAACGAATGCATCGCATATTGCCCCCAGACGGGACGTACACTAAACACTCTAGACAAGTAAAGAGAAACCCCTCACTCATCATTTCCCATATGCTTAAGGCTCGTGGCGCAAAATGTTCGTTGTCTTCATTAAGTGTCTTAGAATTGTTTTGCGATGAGAAGAGAAAGGACTCAAAGGTGAAAAGAAAACACTAAGGGAAACTGGATCCTAATGTTATCATATAACATGGTCCTAAGATTGGGATAAAATGAAAATCTACCTAATGTTATCATACTAATGATGGACCTAAAGTTGAGGTCAAGGAGGGACTATCCTAATTCTTGTCATGCAAAGGATTGAAAGCTTAATGTCTCTCCTACTTCCAACTTAGTTAGAAATTAAGTGGAACTAGGAATCCTAGGGGATCATGTGAACAAACACAAGTAAATACCATACTAATTAATCACAAATGAGAACAAGCTCAAGACTTAGACAAGTCTCAAGAAAAGAAAGAGAAGAAAGAGGAATGCAAGATGTAGAATAAGATGCAACATTATGAACATACATGGAAGTTCAAATAAAAAAGGTAAGGCATTACACAAGCATTAATCTCAATCACACAAGGTAAACATCAATAACATGTCAAAGCAACAAGAATGTATTCACTTGTCAAGCCAAACCCAAAGATTTGAAATCAAAACCAAATGGCAAAAAAAAGTGCCTACACATCCACAAATAACTTAAAGTCCATCAAGAAGTAATATCAAACATCAAACCAAGAGAGATGAAATCAAATGAGGTGAGAAAAAAGGTAGGGCAGTAGTGTCATACCCCAAATTTTTCCCACTTATATCACCTCCGTCTGACAAGTGTGTGTGCAATGATGCTTTCATTTCAAGAGGTTTTGAGCAAATCTTATGTCAGGAGAATTTATTTCGGATTAAAGTCAGGCTATGCCTACTTTCAGTGGTGTTATTGATATTCCAACCAGGGTTTTTGTGTTTAGTCAGGTTATCTATGTGTGGATTAAATTGATGGACTGTCGTAAGTTATCAGTTGTTTCATGATTGAAATTTATCAAGGGCCAATTCTTCTTCAGATTAGAAATTTATGCAACGTGTGGAGGTCTATGCTCCAAATCACGCTTTTCTGACTTCAATTCAATTGATGGTGTAAAGGTTCATTTTATTAGTACAATTGAAAAGTCAAGTTGATTAGTAAATTGATTCATGGTTGACTTATTTTTCTCAAGAATTGATCCAAAGTTTTAAATTTCATGATTGAGACTCAATTACAAGTTTCTCCCCCAAATTTCACTCATCCCGCACAATTTCAAGATTTAAGTTTCGTGTTAATTTCTAAGTTTTGAGTTCGAGATAACAAGTTCATATTTTCTTTTTATTCCAAAATTGATGATACAATTTAAGGGAGCATATGCAAATAGAAGTAAAACCCATACATTGAAAGCCCATTGTCCATACCATTTACACATACAAAATCCACAAAAAGCATATTTACTATCCAATAAGGTCCATTACCATGATAAGTCTACCACATGTCCATTACACCAAAGTTACAACACAAACCCAATACTAAATCAAAAAGCCCATGGTTCTTTTTACAAACTGCAAAAAAACAAACCAATTCTCCGTGATACTCTATGTAATACGGCCCAGTCATAATTTTCTCATAACATAATTGGCTTTACAACATGAAACTTCTCCAAGGCCAAGTACCACGTACCAACATTGACAAATTTTCAAACAATCACATATACAACCCACGGCTGCTACCACTCATGTTGCAAACCGTTAGCCAAAGAACGTGATTCACAACGGCTAGACCATGATTTCGTACGCACAAAGGTTGGCCTTGAAATTTCCAGCGACCAAATACACACTCCAAGAGGTGAGATTCCAAAATGCAATGCGCTGTAAAACATACAAAAATAAAACATGAAAACGACAATACGAGGCCACAGTATACACGGACCTGCGAACAAAACCTCTACTACACACACAAATCACACGAAACGTAGAATTTCTCACAAAAGACGCCAGCTAGCATACCTCTGTAGGACAAACCGTAACAGTCTCATACACAACCACTTTCCAACAAAACCTGTATGTAGCATCCAATTTCTTCAGCAAACACACACACTTGACCCCACTCCTTCACACTACAAGCCTATAACCGTTTCATAGTACAGAGTATCGTACCTTTGTTTTTCAAAAGGGCGAAATCTCAGCCTCATGATAAACCAACGACATCAGTAGCAGCAACGAGGCTGGCGTGACAACAACAAACCCGAACCTTTGCAAAACTTCACACCAAAAAAAACCAAAATTCATCTCATTTGTTTCCCAAGATACCCTCAGCTCTCTCTCTATAAAAACTCTCGGTCATTCTCGCAGAAGGGCGGTTTTTTTTTTACCTTAATCTTTCTTCAACATTTTCTAAACTTCACAACCTAAACTCACAAACCCAGAATACCTTTCTTCAACCTATCATAACTCGAACCGCAAACTAGATCCAGAAACCCCAAAATTCAGAACCAGAATAGAGAGGAAGAGGGAAGAAAAGTCGAAAACGAAGCAACGTGAAAACAAAATCATAACCCAATTGAATTTAGACCTAATTCAGAAGATTGAAGGAGAGAACATTCGAGATTTGAGACAAAGCGAGCAAACAGAGGAAAAGTTGGGAACGAGAGTTGTTTCTTATTTTTGTTGAGATCCTGCGCGATGATGAAGATGAGTTTGTTTTCACTCTTCTGAGCATATTGCTTCGAAAGCCTTGGCTTGCTTTATCGTTTCTTTTTCTTTTTCATCTCTACAAAGTGTATGTTAAAGATGATGATGGTTTTAGTCTGAACGTGACCCTTTTTACTAACCTCACTTGGATCGTGTTTTGTTCTTCCATGGGCATTGCTTTATGATTCTGGGCTTTAGGCCTATTTCTTTCTTTTTGGCTATCCGGATTTTGGTGAGATGATGGGCCTTTGAGCCCATATGATTCTCATGTAATCCACGATAATCACATACTCCAAATCTGATGTACACACCCCTTTTGTAGTCTTTGATGGTTTAGTTTAGTTTATTTTATTTTGAGGGTTTTTAATGTGAAGTTTTTGTTAGTGATTTCGTTAAGCATTTCACTAAGTAAGTGACATTTATTGTTAAATCACTCTCGATTTTATTTTGTATTTTACTTGTTTTTCGTCATTTTGATTTTGTCTTGGTTTTCATTTTTCTTTTATTATGGTCGATGACGAGACCTCCATAAGTTGTTATCGGTCAAATTATTGATAGATAATAATTTATCCGAGACGACCCGCTTTTTCACTTTTCATTTTCTTTCTCATTCTCGACTTTATTACATTTTTTGAATCGATGAAAACTTTGATTCACAAGCGTTAGTTTTCGAGGTTGTTAAACCTTCATTACTTCAAATCTGTAAAAAAATGATCATTTGGATCATTTTTCTATACTTTGGGATCGTGAGAGGTTCCCCTCGATTAATTAACATAAGGTTTGCGATTAAGACGAGATTTAACCTTACTTTCAATTTCATCTTAATTTTATTTTTATTTTATCGGTCAATGAAGTCTTTACATTCGTAAATGTAGACTTATCGAAGTCGATAATCTTCATTATTCCAAATCTATAGAAAATGATCATCGAGATCATTTTTCTATACTTTGGGATAGTGAGAGATTACCTTCGATTAATTGACATGAGTTTATGATTAAGACGAGATCCCACTCCTTTTGACCCATTTCATTCAAACAATTATTAATTCTCGATTTTAATTATTGTTCAAAATACAAGTGCTTTACTTTTTAGTCAAATATACCCTTGATTTAATTTCTGTTAATATATCACTGTTTTTATTTTTGCACATATTCTTTGATTATATTATTGTTGATATTATCTTGTTTATTGTCTTGCTCATCTTTTCATCATTATTCATATTTCATCCTGTCATGTTACATATACTGTTATCTAACCCTTTCCTTATTTATTTCATTCAAAATACCAAAAACATGATAAAACTATCGTAACCCTAAATTGGTAGACTGTTGACCATTATCTTAGATGTTAAAGTTTAGGCCTTGTACATAAACCCTATGTTGCGGTGAAAATTGGATGTCAAGCTATTAATTAACTTGAACCTTATTTCTTTTTACAACCGGTCTTTAATTTATCCAAAGGATGGGTCTAAAGAAAGAACCTTTTTCGCGATGTAACGACAACGCTTTTAAGAGATTCGGGGATTCGGGGGTTGGTTATATCTAGGGAAGGTATTAGCACCCTAAATATCTGTAGTACTCTACAGGAACCTTTTGTTTAATTAATTGCTAAGTTTTTGAATTGTGCACTATGGTTTAAGGATTGGGAATTGAGATGAAATAAATAAAAAGGCCTAAGTGGTTTTCTAAGTTTGCTCGCAAAGGCATCGCACCTTCTGCCTACGTATCCTGACTAGGATAGAATCAGAGCAATCGTAGTTCACCTCACAAGGGAAAAGAACACTTGATGACGATTAAGGTTCAAAGGGGAACAAACATGAAAATGTTTGTGTGGAGTTTGACAAAACTCCCTAAACTAAATTGAAAGGGAAAGTAAGAAATCATGACGATGATTCTTACACAGAGTTGACGAACTCTTTCCTAGGGTTCTAGTTGAAGAACGCTCCTAGTATGGGTAGGTTTCTTAGACTTCAAGCAAAGTCTAAAGGCTCCTAAATTAGGGTTAAGGTGACTTAACAAAGTCAGGGGATAGCAGAGGTTTTGGTCCAAGACATTGACGGTCAAGTGGACAGACCTTCCTTTGGAGGGACAGTATTATCGGCAACTGGACGAAAGCGAACGAGCTTCGTCGCTTGGGGATAAAATAAAATAAGAACTTTATACAAACATAATCATGGTGACAACCAATGAAAAAAGATATTTAAAGGTTAAAAACAATGATGACAATCAAAGCAACTGATTCAGTACGAGAACCGTGATGACAGTTCGCACCTGGAGTACAGTTAACAAACAGATGAGGTAAACATGATAATAATTTAAGGTAAAAATTCTAACATGTTGACAAACATGTATGGATATGATAACAATCAAATTTCCACAAAGAAAATAATGAGAACCCTTTTAACTTTCATCTGCAACCGATTAGGGTTAGTACTGTCAACGCGCGGATCACGCACAATCAAACATGGTGAAAAAATAATCAAACATGGGAAATAATTACATGGCATGAAAGTACATATAAAAACAAACACAATGAAAAAAGAACGGACGAAAAACGATAAAATATGTGAGAGTTACGATTTTTTGAAGTTTTATGTAAAAAATGAGAAAAAGTGGCAGCAAGGGTTATCACAAGGGATCGAACCCATGCCAAGATTGATACGCGCGCAAGTCTCTACCGCTGGGGCGGCCATACATCCATTAACAAATGTGAAAGGATAAATATGTAAGGCATATCACATTCATGTTTGGGCAAAAACACTTAGTTTTCAAGTTTTGCAAAATGCCCATAACTTCCTCAATTTTTTGAGTTTTTCAACAAACTTTATATGCTTTTGGGGTAGAAAAATGAGAGGAAGAAGATGGAATTGGTGGTTTTTTGAAATTCATTTTCCTTTGAAAAAACCGATAGGGTGTTTGGTTATGGCTTATGATTTGCAAAAGGTCATGAATAACTTGATACCAACATGTTTAATGCCAAGTGAGTCCACATACACATCCAATATATGATATATAAACAGAAGGGAACAAGTTCATGGCCAGGAGGTTCAGATAGGAGAGAGTCACATTCAATTTGCAAATGCACATAAAAACAAACATGCATAACAATGTGGCTTTCGAGTTCAAGGTACTCAGGGATCCTACCAATCATTGAAACGTCTTTAATATGTGATATCAAGTGTGTGCAAGTGAAGATACCAGTTCTGTAATGAGTGTGTGAGGATTTAGTGTGTAAGTTGCATTTGGTACATGTCATGTGTGTGTGATGGTGTGCTTTTTGTGTTCAGTCCAAATCCAGTGTTTTGCTCACTCAGACATGTCTCATATGATCCTACAAAGTTATTGCAATCAAAAGAACCCAAAGAGAACCATCCATTCTCAAACTGGTATGGAACATGCAAGTATGTGATAGTTCAAGGCACTTTGTGTGATGACTTGGTGGTGTAAGGCTTGTGCACATCAGATCAATGTCCCAACAGGTTGCATATGGGTAGTGTGAAGTGTATGTGGAGTTTGTTTTGGTAAAAAGCAAGTAGAGGCAAAAAACCACATTTTGAGTCTTGGTGCATTTGAAACTTGGTGTCAATAGGTGACTTTTGATGCAAGACAGCAAAACAGTAAACCACACACATAGGCATGCTTAGAATAATCAAACACACATGTGGAAATGAGAAAATCAAACATATCATGGGTTATGCCAAGAATGTCAATGTTAAGTGACTTGTGTGTATCATGAAATTTGGTGTCCACAAGTGAGTTTTTTGATGCAATGCTCAAAACAGCAAAGTGAATACACAAACATGTTACCTATGGTCATATTAATCTGTTGTAACACAAAGATTTCAAGGATGATCATTGCTTCAAAATTTGGTGGGTGATGTGCAAGCATGTTAAGGCAAAAGGCAACTCATGAGTGAATTTGAGATACAGTGTATTTCCAACTCAAACAAGTATTCTAACATGTCATGTTTGAATGTTATGAGGTGTATGTGAAGTGCTTTTAGTGAAAAAGCAACTGGTGTAAAATGTGACAAATGTGTGGATGTGTGTTTGAAACCTTTTGCATTTTGAAGATGACTTTTCATAACATAATGACTTTTGGTGAAATGATGATGCTAACATGTTACAATGAACTAATGTGAGGTGTGTGTGGTGGTGTTTTGATGAAAAAACCAGTCATGCCAAAAATGTCAAGTTGAGTGACTTTGTGTGTGTTTTGAAGCATTTGTGTCAACATGTGAGTTTTGATGCAAGACAGCAAAATAGCCAAAAACAGTCACATAAACATGCTTAAAATACTCAAACAAACATGCTGAAATGATGAGAAACAAAGTATCATGTGTTATGTAAATTGTGGTAGTGTGTATGGCTTGGTGTGGTTT